GATCTATGATTTATCAATTTATCATTCATGGACGTTGATAAGATCCTTCCATTTAGCAGCATCTTAGGATGGCATAGCCTTAAAGTTAAGGGCGAGGTTCAAACGAGGAAAGGCTTATGGTGGATACCTAGGCACCCAGAGACGAGGAAGGGCGTAGTAAGCGACAAATGTTTCGGGGAGTTGAAAATAAGCGTAGATCCGGAGATTCCCGAATAGGTCAACCTTTCAAACTGCTGCTGAATCCATGGGCAGGCAAGAGACAACCTGGGCGAACTGAAAACATCCTTAGTACCAGAGAAAAGGAAAAGCAAAAGCGATTCCGTAGTAGCGGGCGAGCGACAATGGGGAGCAGCCTAAACGTGAAAAACGGGGTTGTGGAGAGCAAATACAGCGTCGTGCTGCTTAGGCGAAGCGGTGGAGTGCTGCACCTAGATGGCGAGAGTCCAGTAGCCGGAAAGCATCACTAGGTTACGCCTGACCGAGTAGGCATGGGGCACGTGGAATTCCCGTGTGAATCAGCAAGGACCCAACCTTGCAGCCTAAAACTCCTGGTGACCTGATAGCGAAGTATACCGTGAGGGAAGGGTGAAAAAGAACCCCATCGGGGAGTGAAATAGAACATGAAACCGTAAGCTTCCCAAGCAGTGGGAGAGCCCGGGGCTCTGACGCGTGGCCTTGTTTGAAGAATAAAGCCCGACTATAGCAGTGGCTTGGTTAAGGGACACAACCCACCGGCAGCCGTAGCGAAAGCGAGTCTTCATAGGCCAATTGTCACTGCTTATGGACCAAAACCTGGGTGTTATCCATGACCAGGATTGAAGCTTGGGTTAAACATAAGTGGAGGTCCGAAACCGGACTGATGTTGAAGAATCGCGAATTTGAGTTGTGGTTAGGGGTGAAATGCCAATCGAACCAGAGTAGCCCGGTTCTCCCGAAATGCGTTGAGGCGCAGCAGTGACTGACCATCTAGGATAAAAGCACTTTTCGGCGTGCTGCCGCAGAGAGCAGGTACCAAATCGAGGCAACTCGAATACTAGATATGACCTCAAAATAACAGGGGTCATTTACTTATATACATTATCATTCTATTTTGGCGAGAGTCCAGTAGCTGAAAGCATCACTAGCTTACGCTCTGACCCGAGTAGCATGAGGCACGTAGAATCCCGTGTGAATCAGTGCAGAGACGGCCAGGAGGTTTGCCTAGAAGCAGTTACCCTTGAAAGAGTGCGTGATAGCTCACTGATCGAGCGCTCTTGCGCCGAAGATGAATGGGGCTAAGCGATCTGCTATAATTAATTAATTAATTAATATAAACTGTAATTTTTAATTAGTCGTCATTAAAAATATTTTAGAAAAATAAAAATTTTATTAAAAGTGATAACGAAAATAATAGAGTAACGCAAACATTGGTGAGAATCCAATGCCCCAAAAACCTAAGGGTTCCTCCGCAAGGTTCGTCCGCGGAGGGTGAGTCAGGGCCTAAGATCAGGCCGAAAGGCGTAGTTGATGGACAACAGGTGAATATTCCTGTACTACCCCTTGTTGGTCCCGAGGGACGGAGGAGGCTAGGTTAGCCGAAAGATGGTTATCGGTTCAAGGACACACGGTGTCCCTGCTTTTTCAGGGTAAGAAGGGGTAGAGAAAATGCCTCGAGCCAATGTTCGAGTACCAGGCGCTACGGCACTGAAGTAACCCATGCCATACTCTCAGGAAAAGCTCGAACGACCTTCAACAAAAGGGTACCTGTACCCGAAACCGACATAGGTCGGTAGGAGAGAATACCTAGGGGCGCGAGACAACTCTCTCTAGGGAACTCGGCAAAATAGCCCCGTCCCGTAACTTCGGAGAAAGGGGGTGCCTCCTCATAGGGGTTTCCTCGATCTATTCTTCCATGAATTACTGAAAACAAAAAGAAATTCATCTCAAGATCTAATAAATCAAATAATTCAAAAAAACTGCTCAATTTATTAGTTTAACGAATTTTTGACTCTCGAATATCCAACCGCGAAAATTGAACTGTTAATGAAAAGAGAGAATAGGACAAAAATAATTAGGGAGTCGAACGAGCCTTTTTTGGGGATAGAGGGACTTGAACCCTCACAATTTTTAAAGTCGACGGGGCACTGTCTCAGAAAGAGGCTCGGTGAAATAGACATATCTGTGAAGATGCGGACTACCTGCACTGGACAGAAAGACCCTATGAAGCTTCACTTGGGATTGGCTTTGGGCCTTTCCTGCGCAGCTTAGTGAAGGCGAAGAAGGCCCCTTCCCGGGGGGGTCCGCAGCCATCAGTGAGATACCACTCTGGAAGAGCTAGAATTCTAACCTGTGTCAAGGACCATTACGGGCAAGGCACAAATACCAAATATTACACTTTTTGTATAAATTAAAAATGATATTACGAAACTTTTTCATAAAAATTTACAATAAAAATGATTTTTAAAATAACTATTAAAGTTTAATGGCTTAACCTTGCTTTACTGTTTGACTTACATGTCTATCAGTCGCGTAAGCGGGGCATACGATCACAAGATGCAGAAAGGAAAGGTCTTGGATTTTTGAAAAAGCTACGCTAGGGATAACAGGCTAATTGCGCCAGAGAGTACAAATTGAGTGCGCAGTTTGGCACCTCGATGTCGGCTTAGCTCATCCACATGAATGCAGGAATCATGAAGGGTACGACTGTTCGTCGATTAAAGAGCTACACGAGCTGGGTTAAATACGTCGTGAGACAGTATGGTTTCTATTATTCCGGTGTGGCGTCTAGAGCAATGAGAGGACAAAAAAAAAAAAAAAAAAAAACATCTAATAGCTACTAGAATAGCTAGTATTGTCGAACAGGCCCAAAAAGTGTAGTCTCAATCCTATTCCAATAGGTACATAGGGTATGTTCGACAAAATTAGTTATTTTAGTAGTAGTTAACAGTTTTAATAGCGTTTAGCTGTTAGCCATTTGAGTAGTTTTTCATAAAACGCTAAAAACTAAATGTTACATAAATTAACTTTTTTTTTAAAATGCTACCTTAACCTCTAAAAGATAGTTCAAACGCTATGTTACTAAATACTATTAAAAGTATGATTTTTACTTAAAAATTTGTTGTCGAAAACAACTATAGTCCACTTGAACCTTGTTCCTACATGACCCGATCAATTCGATCAGGCACTCGCCATCTATTTTCATTGTTCAACTCTTTGACAACACGAAAAATCCATTGTTCAACTCTTTGACAACATGAAAAAACCAAAAGCTCTGCCCTCCCTCTCTATCTATCCATGGGATGGAAGGGCGGAGGCCTTTGGTGTCCCCTCCAGTCAAGAATTGGGGCCTCATAATCACTAGCCAATATGCTTTTCCTTTTCTCGCACGCCTTTCTTCGTTCATGGTTCGATATTCTGGTGTCCTAGGCGTAGAGGAACAACACCAATCCATCCCGAACTTGGTGGTTAAATACTTGGGGTTAAAAAAGGGGGGAAAAAAAAAAGGGTTTTTTTTTTTCCCCCTTTGCCGGGGCGGAAGGGGGGGGAAAAAAAAAAAAAAAAATAGCTCGAACGCCAGGATGATAAAAAGCTTTAACAACCCCTCATTTTATTAACTTTTTCAATATTGAAAAAAAAATGAAAAGGTCGTCCTATTCAAAACCCAATTATGAAATCCGCTTTTCTCTCACTTCACACACTCGGAACGCAACCGTTCTTATAGAGAGAGAAGGCGCTTTCGCATCTTCTTAACCCGAAATGGCTGGGGAAGAGGAAAGGTTTCCTTTTTTTTAGCGGTACTCCCGGAACAGAAAATCCAGTGGTAGACGGGGTGGGGGCCTGGTAAGCTCAAGAGGATTAGAGCAGCGTGGCTACGAACCACGGGTTCGGGGGTTCGCATCCCTCCCTCGGCCCCACAACCGGGTCGCCAAAAAGGCCCAAAAGGGAAGGACCTTTCCCTCTGGGGGTAGGAAAATCATGATCGGGATAGCGGACCCAAAGCTATGGAACTTGGGCGTGGGTCTTTTGCCGAAATGGAGTGGCCTTTTATTTATTATTTATCGTATATTTACTTTTCGATTTTATATTTATATATAGTATTACCGGCCAAAACAAAATAAGCATATTTTTTTTGTTTTACGCCCCGTAACTCTTCCTCAGCCAGGCTTGGGCAGAATAGCAGAGCAAGTACAAGTATTAGTAGCATAGAAAAAATGCGCTCCTCGTCATTAAATTAATGTGTTTGCTCGCGGTAATTGTGGCCTCTCGGGAGAATCGATGACTGCATCTTTGAGGCATTTGCTAGTACTAGTACATCTGAGAATTCTTAATTGGCTGGTTGTAAATAGCCCCGGGACTATGGAACAAAGGATTATCCCGGACACCTACACCGAGGTATTGACGGTGATTCTCAAATATCGCAGAGGTGATTCCAAATATTTCGCAGAACAGAATTGTGATGATGGATGAAGATTAGAATGCAATTAGAAAGAAAAGACACAGGGAACGGGTACCTACTCTTAACGGTCAAAATAAAAAAAGAAAAAAGTATTTTTTATAATATTCATTTTTCTTTATTTTTATATAATTTGACCAGATATATTTTTTAAAAAATAAATTTTTAAATAGAATACATATAGTTAAGCCTTTTAAAATAACTATATGTATGTATGGAATGAGTACCAGTTGAAAAAAATTTTAATCTTAAAAATATTATATCTTGTTATATATATATATATATAATTTGTGATGATTTTGAAATCTTTTATACCAGGTAATTTTCTTCGTAACCCCCGGAACTTCTTCGTAGTGGCTCCGTTCCATGCCTCATTTCATAGGGAACCTCAAAGTGGCTCTATTTCATTATATTCCATCCAGATCCCAATTCCATTTTTATATTGTCATTGACATGACATAAGAGATGTCGGTTCTAGTCTATCTTTTTCTATTTCTATATATGTATATGGAAAGTTCAAAAATCATCATATAATAATCCAGAAATAGAAAAGAAAAAAGGGAGGTTAATGATGATTTTAAAATCTTTTATACCAGGGAATCTAATATCCTTATACATGACGATAATCAATTCGGTCGTTATGGTCGGACTCTATTATGGATTTCTGACCACACTATCCATAGGTCCCTCTTATATCTTCCTTCTACGAGCTCGGTTTATGGAAGAAGGAGAAGAAGGAACCGAGAAGAGAGTATCAGCAACAACTGGGTTTATTGCAGGCCAGCTCATGATGTTCATATCAATCTACTATGTACCTCTGCATTTAGCATTGGGTAAACCTCATACAATAACTGTCTTAGCTCTACCGTATCTTTTGTTTCATTTCTTCTGGAACAATCACAAAGACTTTTTTGATCATAGACGTCCTACCAGAAATTCAATGCGTAATCTTAGCATTCAATGTGTATTCCTGAATAATCTCATTATTCAATTATTCAACCATTTCATTTTACCAAGTTCAATGTTAGCCAGATTAGTCAACATCTATATGTTTCGATGCAACAACAAGTTTCAACATTTAATGTTTCGAGGTTGTCAACAACAAGAATAGTTAATTTGTAACAAGTTAGTTTTGTTGGTGTTGGTTTAATTGGTCACATTTTTTCATCGAAATGGGTTTGGATTTGATATAGTCTGGATACAGCAAAATAATTCTATTAGATCGAATGTAGCTTTTTACGATTCTAATAAGTACCTTGTGTCAAGAATTGAGAATTCTATGAGCTCGAATCTTTAGTATTCTCTTATTTATTACTGTGTCCCTACTCTTTAGGCAAGAATACCGTCACCCATTTTTTACTAAGAAACTGAAAGAAACATCAGAAGCGGAAGAAAGGGAGGCAAGAAACAAGATGTAGAAATAGAAACAACTTTCCGAAACGAAGGGGACTGAAACCAGGAAACAAGAGGGATCCACCAAGAAGATGTCCTTCTTCTTCCCTGTTGATTTCTGGAAGAAATGGAGGATCCCGGACAAATCGACGAAAACGGAAGAGATATCCAAGTGAATGGAAAGGAAAAAAACAAAGGATTGAATTCCTTTTCACTTTAAAGAGACATGCTAATAAAAAATAGACCACTTTAATGAAACTTTTTTTATCTGGATGGGAATCAAGAAAATTCGAAGTTAGAAATATTGATAGATAAAAAAATAAAGATCTTTTCTGGGTTTGGAAAAAACTTCTCTTGTAACTATGTCTTTGTTTGAACTCTAAACGTTTGGAATCGTCCGATTTCGATATTTATAAAAATGAATCAGTTTGAGATGGCTTGTAAGAGAAAGAATGTCACAATATTTTTTTATAGCATGTCCGAAGTGGATGGAAAAGAAAGAATATCTTTTACGTACCACCCAGTTTGTCAACTTTTTTGGAATGATAAAAGAAGGATTGTCCCCTGTTTACAAACAGAAAACTCTCCTCCGATTGAATTGTAATAATCGTTGGAATTATAAGAAATGAACAAAAAAAGAAAATCTAAGTAATGAATTTATAAAAAGAGCCAGGCTTTAGATAAGGGATATCTTGCTTCTGAATAACACTCCAAAAAAGGACTAGATTGGGTGTAATGATAAAAACTAAAAAAGAGTACTTGTACCGTAAATATTATGATCCTTATTGAGTGGGTCATAGACGCGGAAAATCCAAATTTTTTTAAAAATCCAATTTTTTTTCACCCTCAATTTTAAATAAAACTTCCATAAAAATTCTATAGAGATGGTTTGGATAAATAAAATTCATCTTTTTCTTCTTATTACTAATTATCAAAAATTCGAACCAAAAACAGATGTAAAATCATTTTCAATACAAATTGCTTATTTCTTAAATTTAATTAATGAATTTGCCGAAAAATCAAGATCGAGTTTAAATTTTAAGGAAAACTCTCTTTATTTTAGATCACAAAGAAGAAAAAATGGATTTAGAAAATCAAATAAAATTTTTCAAAATTTTATTTGATACAGTTAAAGCGAATTCAAAAAATAAAACAATTAGAAAAGAATAATTCCTATTGGAATAAAAGAAATAAGTAAACAAGTTTCCTCGATGGGTCATATATAATTTAATTGGACGATTTGGAACAACAAGAGGGAAGAAATGAAGAAAATGAAGAAACATGGCGCGAAGATCATGAAATTCGTTCACGAAAAGCAAAACGTGTAAGTGGATTTTACTGATTAATCAACAAATACTGAGACTTATAAATAATACCAAAAGATACAACGAAATTCTGATCAAATTAGACAAAGTGACTTTGATACGTTATTTCACAACAAGCGACTTTCGGTCGAGACATAATTAAAGGAATCGTATGGCGAGCCACAAAGACGGCAAAATACTTATAATTGGAACTGTTTCACAAGCAAATGTGCATTCCTGATCCCTTTTTTTGTGGACAGAATAGACAAAATCGCTGTGTTTTTTCTTTGATATTTCCGAACTAGATGAAAAACAATGTTTATAAATTGGACGTGTTAAAAACGCAGAATTCACAATTTTCGGATTCTACTTATACAGAGAAAAACAAAAGAAAGTAAAAAAAAAAGAAGAGACAAAAAGAGAGGGAAAAAGCTTCGGATAGAAATAAGCCGAAAGCCTGGGATAGCATTCCCTTTTGCTCAAGCAATAAGAGGGTGGTGTTTTAGTAACCCCAGTCGATTCTTTAGAAAATATATTAATAATTAACTTTTTTAATAATAACTAAAAATATTCATTCGTATACTACTTTTTCAAAATTTCCGAATGGTCCTGAGGTTTTAAAAGATTGGAAGTAGAGAAATGCAATGTTAAAGCAGCTTATAATGGAGTTCAAATTATCGAAAAAAGAATTTCCAAAAAACTGGTTAACAGAACGGGATTCAAATAAAGATCCTAAATTTCAATTTTTCGTCTAAAAACCTTGGCACAGATCTAAGTTATAAACTCCTCCAAAAGATCCAAATGAAAAAAGAAAACACAAAAAAAGGATTTTTGTTTTTTAACAGTTTGGGGATGGAAAGTTGAATTGCCTTTTGGTTCTCCCCGAACGGCTTCCCTCTTTGAACATTTTAAAAGAAACTCGAAAAAAAAAAATTCGAAACAATAAAAAAAAGTTTCGAGTTCTAACAATTTTAGAAGAAAGAAGAAAAATTTTTTCTAAAAATTATCAAAAGAAAAAAAAATTGGGTTATCAAAAACATTTTTTTTCGAAAAAGAAAAGAAATAATAAACAAATTTCAAATCAAAAAAGAAATTTGCAAATTTATTATCTGGGATTTATAAAGTATACTGAAATTGAATGAAACCAGTAAAAAAGAAAAAATTCAATAATGATAACAATAATGGGAAAAGATTCAAAAAATTGTCTACTCGCAACTCGATCTATGGCTTTGGACAAATTATTCACTAACAGAAAAAAAAAGATTGAAAGATCTTTTGTTCCTAGAAGAAAGATAATCTAAATCATAAATAAGAAAAAATGAAAAAGGAGAAAAGGAAACAAAAATTATAACCTCAAAAAACATATTAATCCTAACAAAAATAAGTTTATATGTTAAAAAAATTAAAATCATCAAAAAAAAATTTGTAAAATTATCACAGATACAGAATAGTTAAAAAGGGGAAATGCTCGATTAGTGCGTAATTACATTTTTTTAAAAAGTCTTTGATTCAAAGGATATACTTAGATTATCATTTTTAAGTATCATTAATATTCGAGGATCAATGCACAGCTTTTTTCCTTGAATCAACAAAAAAAATTATTACTAAACTATGTTTGCAATAGAATGGGGAAAAAATCACAAAAAAAATTGATAAAACAGCAAATACAAGTGTCACTTTCTTTCGTTATGATTATAACAAAAAGTTGACCTTAATGTATGATGTAATAGTTGCCTGGTTTATTAATGAACAAATATCACTAATTTTTGTGATATGATGCCTCCTTGGTGCTTAACAACATGATTGTATTCTTTACAAATTATCACAAAATCCAAATAATTAATTTATATAAGTTAACGATCCTATCCTTCAATAATCATGGGGGCCTTTTTCTTAAGAATGAGGTAGTAAAGGAATATTTTTTTAGAGCCCAAAGGGGAAATATTTTTAATTCCAAAATTAAAAGATAAAAAATTTTTCGAAAATTTCGTCACATAAATTCAATGGAAAAGACTGGTTAAGGGTCATTTATCAAATATAATGATAGATGATTAACTCCAGATTAGATGGTCTGATTAATATCAAACAGAGATAATGGCGAAATAGAAATCAAGCACACCGAATATGGGTTCAAATAAAAAAAATTTATAAATTCAATTTATATGAAAAAGACCCAAATTAAATGAAAAAAGACCAATTAATTCATTACGAAAAAAAAAAAAAAAAAAAAAAAAGACAAAAGATTCCTGCATATACTTGATTAGAACCCATCTGGATTCCATTCTTTTTTTTTTTTTTACTGTTTTCTTATTTGAATTTGGGTTTATTGTGAATTTTATTAGCATTTCATTGTATTCAATACTAAATGGCAGCTTTGGTTCAGACCTGCTGATGCATAAAATTGCACGTTTCAACCCCACAAGTTGAGAAAAAGTAAAACAATTATCTTTACTCTTATACCATTGAGATATCAAGGCAGGCAGGCACACTCTTAATTTGTTGATCAAAGGCATGAGTTTAAAATCAAGCAAACAGCTCATCAGCACCTACTACCTACCACACCAACAGACAACGCGAGTCAAATATCGGGTTCATGCTTTTTTCTAGTTCCTGGTCTAGAACTTGCATTCGTTCCGCTATACCACCTGTTAAATGCAATTAGTATCTTTTTCTTTTTTCAATTTTGTTTCAATTTAAGAAAGCTACAAGGTTAAGATGAGAGGACCTTTTTGCTTCAGACACTATTTAAACATCGTCCATCCAGTGAAGGGGTAAAAATCATGAGACAACAAATTCTATGCTGCCACCACGGCACCACCCCCCACCCTGTTCTCTAAGATACCACAAACTCCAAAGCCATAGTTCCAAATGTTGGAACCAAAGCCGATAATCAATGTCCGGATGGAAAAGGACTTAAGCTTTTTGTCACAAACTAGTTTTAGAATTCATTTTGTCACGCTGGAGTTCTGTGGGCAATCGGATTTGCAAAATAACCTTCCTTCAGTTCTCTGCATCCAATGAACCAGATCTGCAAACATCCCCGCGGCAAAGTGGACATACCCTGAAGCCACAAGTTACCAGATGCTTTTATATCAGAAACACTGAAATTAAATTAACATATTTAAGTAAATCATCCAGCAGCAAGAACATCATAATTACCCAGAAAACAGAACCCATAAGGCCAGCAATTTCATTTAGTGAACAAAATAATGAATGTTGAAGTGAATCAGGCAAAGCACATAACAGGTAAGTTCGCCATCGATTAGAGACCAACACCGACCAACAATTCTGTTCAGACATATTTGAATGATGTACGGTATTATCTTGCAGAAGACAAAAACATATGCGGGATTCGTTCCTTCTCACAATTCTATAATACGTTCCAAAAAAGTCACAATCTTGACAGCCATCCTCAGAAATTCTGCTCTTATTCTAGCTACTCTTCTAGGCATTTTGCTCTCCTTTGTTCAATCTTCAATTACTTTAATCAGTTCGTTTCAGCAATTACTATTCAGCACCAAAATGGAACTGTCATATAATCTTGTATGTATCTCTACTTTCAAACAGGTCTAATTGACAATAGAGACAAAAATGATTATGATTTACTTGTTCCTGAAAATATTTTATCCCCTAAATGTCTTAGAGAATTAAGAATTCTAACTTCTTTCAATTTTAAAAACCGAAATGATATTCATATAAAAACAGAAATTTTCAATGTTAGTAAAAATAAACTAATCCAATTCAAATTTTTTCTCTGGCCCCATTTTCGATTAGAAGATTTATCTTGTATGAATCACTATTGGTTTGACACTAATAATGCCAGTTGCTTCAGTATGGTAAGAATATATGTGTGTGTGTGTGTGTGTGTGTGTGTGGCAGACATCAATTGCTTAGAAAAATAAATTTGAAATAAATAAATAAAATAGTACATTTAAAAAATGCACAATTTGATAATTATAGTTTAAAAAACACTATGGCTTAGTTTCTCTACTCCAACTTTCTTTTAGTTTTAGTAAAGGTGCATTTTTCATTTTCATATATATCCCATAGCATATCTGATCGAGTATATGAAAACAAGGAGATGGGCACGTTATTTTTTTACATTCCATATTCATATGGAATTCAATCATGTATTAATTAGATCTAGAAACGAATCTTTTTTACTTTCAACTCCATTTTAGATAGAGTTTTTTTCTATTTTGGAAACAAAAAAATGTACCATCCTTTTTGTATATATAACTGAATAAAAAAAATGGAATTGATTAAGGATAAATTGGATTTGACAAGATTTTGAATTACTAACAAAGAAAGATTATTGTGTATACAAAATTAAAATGAACTGACATTATTATTTATTAATACATTTTCTAGTATTACTGATCAATCAAACATATCTTAAATTAAAAAAAATAAACTAAAAAAGTACTTTTTTATGGTAAAAAATTCATTCATTTCGGTTATTTCACAAGAAAAAGACGAAAACAAAGAATCCGTTGAATTTCAAATAGTAAGTTTCAATTTCAAATAGTAAGTTTCACTAATAAGATACGAAGACTTACTTAACACTTGGAATTGCATAGAAAAGACTATTCATCTCAGAGGGGTTTGCGAAAAATTCTAGGAAAACGTCAACGATCACTGTCTTATTTAGCAAAGAAAAAGAGAGTATGTTATAAAGAATTAATTAGCTGGTTGGATATTCGGGAGTCAAAAATTCGTTAAACTGATAAATTGAGGAGTTTTTTGAATTATTTGATTTATAAGATCTTGAGGTGAATTTCTTTTTGTTTTCAGTAATTCATGGAAGAATAGATCGAGGAAACCCCTATGAATGTACCAGCTATGCAAAAAGACCTTATGATAGTCAACATGGGTCCCCACCACCCATCAATGCATGGTGAATGTGTAATGACAAATAAGGAACATTAGTTTTAGCTATAAACTGAACTGTGAACGAATATTAGGTTATTTACACAAAGGCATGGAAAAAATTGCGAAAAATGAACAATTATACAATATTTGCCCTATGTAACACGTTGGGATTATTTGGCTACTATGTTCACAGAAGCAATAACAGTAAATGGCCCAGAACTGTTAGGAAATATTCAAGTGCCTAAAAGAGCTATCTATATCAGGGTAATTATGTTGGAATTCAGTCCTATAGCTTCTCATTTATTATGGCTTGGCATTTTTATAGCGGATATACAAACTCCTTTCTTCTATATTATAGAGAGAGAGAGAGAGTTAGTATATGATTTATTCGAAGCTGCCACTGGTATGAGAATGATGCATAATTATTTTCGTATTGGGGGGGTAGCGGCTGATCTACCTCATGGCTGGATAAATAAAAGTTTGGATTTTTGTGATTATTTTTTAACAAGAGTTGCTGAATATCAAAAACTTATTACACGAAATCCTATTTTTTTAAAACGATTTGATGGAGTTGGTATTGTTGGTACAGAGGAAGTAATAAATTGGGGGTTATCATGATCAATGCTACGAGCTTCTGGAGTACAATGGAATCCTATTTTTTTAGAACGAGTTGAAGGGATAGGCGTTATTGGTGGAGAAGAAGCAATAAATTGGGGTTTATCCGGCCCAATGCTACGAGCATCTGGAATCAAATGGGATCTTCGGAAAGTTGATCATTATGAGTGTTACGACGAATTTGATTGGGAAATCCAGTGGCAAAAAGAAGGAGATTCATTAGCTCGTTATTTAGTCCGAATCAGTGAAATGACGGAATCTATAAAAATAATTCAACAGGCCCTGGAAGGAATTCCGGGTGGTCCCTATGAGAATTTAGAAATCCGATGCTTTGATCGAGAAAGGGATCCAGAATGGAATGATTTTGAATATCGATTCATTAGTAAAAAACCTTCTCCCACATTTGAATTACCGAGACAAGAACTTTATGCGAGAATGGAAGCCCCAAAGGGAGAATTAGGAATTTTTCTGATAGGGGATCAAAGCGGTTTTCCTTGGAGATGGAAAATTCGCCCGCCGGGTTTTATCAATTTGCAAATTCTTCCTCAGTTAGTTAAAAGAATGAAATTGGCTGATATTATGACGATACTAGGTAGCATAGATATCATTATGGGAGAAGTGGATCGTTGAAATGATAATTTATACGACAGAAGTAGAAGATATCAATTCCTTTTACACATTGGAATCTTTAAAAGAGGTCTATGGGATCATATGGATGTTGGTCCCTATTTTGACTCTTGTATTGGGAATCACAATAGGTGTACTAGTAATTGTATGGTTAGAAAGAGAAATATCTGCAGGAATACAACAACGTATTGGGCCTGAATATGCCGGTCCTTTGGGCATTCTTCAAGCGCTAGCAGATGGAACAAAACTGCTTTTCAAAGAAAATATTCTTCCATCTAGAGGCAATACTCGTTTATTTAGTATTGGACCGGCTATAGCAGTCATATCAATTTTACTAAGTTTTTCAGTAATTCCTTTTAGCTCTCGCCTTATTTTAGCCGATCTCAATATCGGTATTTTTTTATGGATTGCCATTTCAAGTATTGCTCCCGTTGGACTTCTTATGTCAGGATACGGATCAAATAATAAATATTCCTTTTTAGGTGGTCTGCGAGCTGCTGCTCAATCGATTAGTTATGAAATACCATTAACTCTATGTGTTTTATCAATATCTCTACGTGCGATTCGTTGAACTAGAAACTTTTATTTTACCTATTCCTTTCGTTCTAGAAAATAAGTTGAGTTGATAAACTAAATTAGATAGTTATATATGAGTGAAAGAAAGCAGCTTATAAATTCGCAGTAAATTAAACAAAAAAATAGAATCTCATTTCCTATGTACAAAAGTTAAGTGGAAGAAAACGTAAGCGGAAGAAGTCTTTACCCCAAGACGGGTTGATTAGTCAATCTAGCTTGAAGCGGGCTCAAAAGATCAACCGTATAGAGTTTTCGCTATCCTTTGTATGGATTCCCATACATGTATTGCTAAACAAACGGGGGATTGAACAAAAAACGAGTGGATGGTTAGGACACTATCATTTATATGTATTACCATAATTCTAACAGGTGATTAAGCAAAAATGAGTGGATGGTTAAGAATACCAAGATACACAAAGGATTAGTAATAGACTGAAAATTATCTAAATTATCTAAAAGGGTAGTTCGGCCTAATAGATAATAGAAAAGTATATTAATTGGGGCTTTAAGTTGGTAGAAATGATCAGGTAGTACTCCCCATGATTTCAATCCAGAGTACGCTCCTACCCTTTCATTTTTTTTAATCCCCTTTTTCTTTTTTCTTTTTTTCAGAAAGAAGAATAGGAACGAAAAAAAAAAAGAAATATTTTTTATTCTTTTTTTCTATATCAATATTCATAAAGATGTAATTCGTGTCATAATTCAATATTCATAAAGATGGAATTCGTGTCATAATTCAGAATATCTAACTTTTTCGTAATCGAAAATGATAGGTTGAAATATCTATTGGTATTTTTATAAGGATTATTTTCCTTTTTACAAAGAGTATTTTATCAAAGGATTTAAGTTATTACTTAAAAAAGAAAAATTGAATAAAGGATGAGATCAATTCGTAAGTACTTTTTTATTTTTAGTTTTTTATTTTTAGTATTATAACAGATAGAATTTCGTTGCTCGAATTTTGGAACGTCGAAAGATTTGATTTTGATCCTATCTATTCTATAAATATATCAAAATAAATAATACGCTCATATCCTTAAATTTATTTATAGCTTTCGAGGAGCCGTATGAGGTGAGAATCTCATGTAAGAATCTCATTTACGGTTCTGTAATAGCAATGGGAACAGTGATGTTATCACTGACTATAATTATCTAACAGTTCAAGTGTCGTTGATATAGTTGAGGCACAATCAAAATATAGTTTTTGGGGGTGGAATTTGTGGCGTCAACCTATAGGATTTATCATTTTTTTATTTATTCTCTAGCAGAGTGTGAAAGATTGCCTTTTGATTTACATTACTTTCATTTTTTTATTTCTTCTCTAGCAGAGTTGAA